CACACCCTGCCACTGAAACACCCAGCCACACACACACTCTTCCACTGACACATACACCCTGCCACTGACACACCCTGCCACTGACACACCCAGTCACACACACACCCTGCCACTGCTACACAACCGCTAGTACACTCTGCCACTGACACACCCAACCACTAGCAGACACACAGATACCCCACACCTCCCCACTTTGTCATACATACACTTCCACCACCACACACCAACACACCCTACCATTACCACACCTTGCACTGAGGCCACTAGCACACACAGACACTTCCCCATTCTCACAGACACCCCCTGCCACTAACACCCCTCACACACACACTCTGCCACTAGCATATACCCCCTCCCTAACAGACACATGCCTGCTGACAAAGACACACACGCTGCCACACCTCACACCTGCTGTGCACATGAACAGACTCATGTGGACCCCTACTGTTGGTCACTCCCCGGCCATGTGCCCCATCACCCACCTGCACAGCCTCCTGCCTGCTCACAGGCGACCAGGCCAACGCCCTGTCCACAGTCAATGCCCAGCCTGCATCAGGCCCCCGGCACAGCCCCCTGCCTGCTCACAGGCGACCAGGCCAATGCCCTGTCCACAGTCAATGCCCAGCCTGCATCAGGCCCCTGGCTGAGCTAGCAGGGCTGGCTCCATGTGTCAGGCAGCAGCACTGGCTCCCTCCCGCCAAGGCCCCGCCCCAGCGGGCGGGCTGCTGGGCCAGCCACAGCTGTGCACACAGGTGGGGAGGGTGCATCCCAGGGTAGCAGAGGGAGCCAAACCAATGGCTGCTGCCAGCCCGCCCCCCCGGTGGGAGCTGGACTCCGCTCCAGGCAGCATGACTGTGCCCTGGGGAGACGCTGCCATGTGCAGCCGGCCCGTGCCCAGGACGGGAGGGCGAGGCCCAGGGCCTGCAGCAGTGCCGGTCCTCGCAGCTACACACCGCCCCTCGCCTCTGGCCCCCACTACCCCAGTTGGGCACTACTTAGGCTCCCTTCTTGCCCCTCCGGCTGGCTCAAGAGCTGCCCATGGGCAGCACACACCAGGCTGTGCCTCGGGCTCCCTTCCCATGTGGCCCAAGGTCTGAGACCAGCAACTGGCTGCACCTTAGCAGGGAGCAGTGACCAAGGCCAGAGCCAGTGGGGGCAGGAAGGCTGCTGGGGGGGAACCAAGTGGCACTAACAGATCATCTGGGCCAGGGAGCCTCGACTCCTGGGTTTTCCTCCCACTGTCTCTGCGGGTGCCCTTAGGGTTAGGCAGAGCCTGTCCCTGTGCCTCAGTTTCCTCTGTGTATAATGGGGAGAGCAGCCCTACCCTTGCACTGAGAGTTTTCAATGTCTGGCCCACCTGTGGCAGGAGTGACACACACACGCACACACACACATGCACACACACACACCTCGCAAGAGTCACACACACACACACACACCTCGCAGGAGTCACATACACACACCCCCGGCAGGCACCACGTTTGCACCCAGTCACTGCCCCAGAGAAGTGGCTGCCAGCTGTAGCTGGGCCCTGGGAGCAAGGGGAGAGGGTTGCCCCCTCCATTAGAGACACGAGGGAAATGCATAAATAAATTAGGCTTTAATTTGGCCCCTCAAGTGTGCTAGTGTCAGACACGTCTCCACCCCAGCAGCCCAGGCCTTCAGGAGCCCCCAGGCACAGCTGAGGGGGCTATGAGGGGCGAGCTGGTGTGGGCATAGCCCAAAGCTGGGGGCTATGCTAAGGTGCGGGCCAGGCCCATGGCCAAGGGAGGGGAAAGTGCTTAGGGCAGGGGGGACACCTTCTCCATGCCTGGTGAAGGGGGGGTATGGAGCCCCCTCCTCCACTCTGCACTAGGGTTGTCCACGGCCGCACCAGGGTAGGGTGAGGGGGGGTGGGCAGGCAGGACACTCGGGTGGGTTCTGTACCCACTGGCTCTGGCACCGGCCTTCGCTGCCGGCCTCTCAATCCCAGCTCCAGCCCTCAAACTAACACCCTCCCTCTGCCCAGAGCCCCTCCTCCACCACTGGGCAGG